TCAATCCAATGACTGGTAACAGTAAGGTAATCATAGTCATTACCACTTATACCAATATCAGTTGTAATAGCAAGACGACAATTTATATGAGTANTAAGGTAATCACAGTCATTACCACTTCTACCAATATCAGTTGTAATAGCAACACGATAATTTATATGAGTAAATAAATAGCGCAAATATTGTTCATATTCATGTTTATATTTATAAATATCGCTCTTTACGGTTGTGCGAGGAAAACCTTATAAGTAGGATTATAAACTTTTCTAATATAATGCACAAAGTGAGGGTTAGAAGGAAAACTATAGGGTAAGCACTTAACAGTAACCATTTTTGCCAATTCTTCTCGATCTTTTTTTGGATCATAATATAAAATATCACTGGTAATAGTGTTAATTCCCGGTTGAAATTAATTTGACCCGGTACTAAGGTCAGCCTGACTAGGTGCACTTGTCCCCTCGGACAAAACTTTCATACGAAAATATCTAGCTTTATCTTGAGGGTGTAGCAATATGTGTCTAGTCAACCCCCCTCCTCTCCTCCCCGACTTCCAACATATTTAAAAACTAACTCTTTGCCACAAGTTTTACACTTAGCCTTATTTTTTTTCTCTTAGTTGAGTAAAAAATGGCCAAACAAGAGATGTTTCTGCCCGTTTAGAAGGTTGTCTAAAAAATGTAGGGGCAGTAGCAGGAGGGTCAGACGGGACATCATTTGGATTATTATTAGTTGGGTTAACTTCAGGAGCAGGACTAATGGGTGTATCGTCATCCGGTTGCGTTTCATCAAAATCTATTTCTTCATCTCATTTTCATCAATAGTTGGATTACCATAAAGAGCATTCATATATTCATGGTTTAATTATTCACCGGGTGTAATATTATGGCAAAATTAACTCTCGATAAATTGTAATAAACTATTATCGCTATCAAGAATAGGAGGTGTAGGACGGGTAACAGGTTTGGGTCGGGGAGCCGGGGGAAGTGGAGGAGGAACAGATTGGCCACTAGATTCACCACTCTTGGATTTTCCTTTATTTTTATTAAACATTCTTTTTAAGGAATAAGCCATCTTAATTAATCAAGCAAAGTAAATAAAACAAACAAAACTATAATATTAAAACTTAAGAGTTGGAACGAGTTTACCGAATTGACGAACAACTTGTTAAAAATTAATTATCGTTGAAGACTTGAAGACTTCAATTCACCAACTTCACAATTTTGCACAAAATATAACAATTAAGTAAGTAATTATAGAAGAATATTAGAGAGAGATTGATGATTTTGTGAGAAAAATGAAAGAATGAGGGGGTATTTATAGTTAAAAATAGGGAAAAAGTATAATTATAAAAAGTTTGGGGTTAAAATAAAGTTTGGGGGATTAAATGGCTATTTTGCAAATAGCCGGCAGACCAAACAACTAGTTTTTAAATGGCCAAACGGTTAAATTGTTTTTTTTTAAAAATTATCTGTTGGGCCCGGATAGGCCCGTTTATGACCGCTTGAACCGGCCCACTTCTCAGCCGGTCCCGGTCCCAAACGGTCCTGGTCTTGCTGGCCTCGCCTATAGGACCGGCCCACTACCCAGCCCACCTCCCCATGGTCCCGATCCTATCCGGTTAGGACCGTTTAGGCCCAACGCCCATTTGGGCTTGCGGTCCTGGGCCGGTCCCGGTCCTAACCGACCCACATGCCACCCTTACCTGCTGCACACTCCGAAGGCATATGAACAGTTGTACTTTTACTTGGCAATTTTTGAGGTAGCGGTAAGTGGTGTCTTAGTACGAGAGAAAGAAGGTACGCAATTTCCTATTTACTATGTTATCCTCACCTAGAAAAATTAGCGCTCGCTTTGCTAAGCGCTTCAAGGAAGCTAAAGTTGTACTTTCAATGCCACCCTATATGTGTCGTAACCTCTTACCTGCTAAGTAATATCATGCATAAGCCCGAGCTCTCAGGCCGACTTGCCAAATGGGCCGTAGAAATTAGCGGGTACGATATCGAGTACCGACCCCGAACCGCCATAAAATCTCAGATTTTGGCAGAATTCGTGGCCGACTTTACGCCGGCCTTAATACCAGAAGTCGAAAGGGAACTATTGCTAACCTCGGGGACTACTTCGTGAATCTGGACCCTATTATGGACGGTGCCTCCAACGCGAAAGGGTCCGGACTCGGAATCGTATTAAAACCACCTACGAGAAATATAATTAGAAAGTCTGTTAGAACTGTGAAATTGACTAACAATGAGGCCGAGTATGAGGCCATGATTGTAGGTCTAGAATTGGCTAAGAACCTTGGGGCCGAAGTGATCGTAGCCAAGTGCGACTCCCTCATCGTGGTAAATCAAGTTAATGAAACGTTCGAAGTAAAAGAAGAACGGATGCGGAGGTACTTGGAAAAATTACAGGTAACCCTACACCAATTCAAGGAATGGACCTTGTAACATGTACCCCGAGATCAAAACAGTGAGGCCGATGCACTGGCTAACTTGGGGTCGTTAGTCGATTCCGATGAATTCAGCTCGGGAGCAGTAGTGCAACTAATGAATTCGGTGATATAAGAAGGCCACGCCGAAGTGAACTTAACGATTTTAACTTGGGATTGGAGAAACAAGTATATAGACTACTTGAAGACAGAAAAATTTCCTTCATATCCCAAAGAATAGAGAACCCTGCGCACCAAAGCCGCCGGATTTAGCTTGGTGGAAGGGGAATTGTTAAGGAGGTCTTTCTTTTGACCACTAGCCAGATGCTTGAGACCGGGGGAGACCGAATACGCCATGCGAGAAGTCCACGAGGGAACTTTTGGAACTATTGGGGGCAGAATCCTTAGTTCAAAATCTAATCAGAGACGGCTACTACTGGACCGAAATGGAGCAGGATGCGAAAAACTTTGTACGAAAGTGTGAAGGGTGCCAAAGACACGTCCTAATAATCTATCAACCGGGAGAAATGCTCCACTCGATCCTGTCTTCGTGGCCATTTATGAAGTGGGGAATGGACATCGTCGGTCCCCTGCCATGGGCACCCGGTAAAGCTCAATTAATACTATTCATGATCAATTATTTTTCCAAATGGGTCGAGGCTCAAGCGTTAGGAAAAACCAGAGAGAAAGTAGTCATTGACTTCATCTGGGATAACATAATATGTCGATTTGGGATACCGGCCAAGATTGTTTGCGATAACGGAAAATAATTCATCTGAAGCATGGTAAGCAAGTTTTCGAAGATCAAAAAGATACTATCAACGCCTTATCACCTTAGTGGGAACGGGCAGGCAGAATCAACAAACAAGACTATACTCCAAAACCTGAAAAAAAGGTTGACCGGTTCGAAAGAAAAATGGAAGGACATCTTGCCCGAAGTCATGTGGGCATACCGTGCGACTTCGAAATCAAGCACCAGGGCCACACTATTTTCTCTGGTCTACGGAGTTGAAGAACTAATACCAGTCGAGGTAGGGGAACCGAGCCTCAGATTTCACTATGCTACCGAAGAGTCAAACGGTGAGGCTATGATCACGAGCCTGGAACTGTTGGACGAAAGACGAGAGGCTGCCATGGTTCGATTGGCAGCCCAAAAGCAGCGAGTAGAAAGATAATACAACCGAAGAGCCAACCTCCGACATTTTCAAGTCGGGGACTTGGTATTGAGAAGGGTAACACTACACACCAGGAACCCGAACGAAGAAAAACTGGGTTCGAATTAGGAAGGGTAGTATTGAGTTGTCGGAATAACCGGCAAAGGCTCATATAAACTCGAAGCAGGAAACGGTGTACAACTACCAAACAACTAGAACGTGACATACTTAAAGCAGTACTACTGCTAAGGTACGAAATCAATTCCTTTTTAATTGTGTTATAAATTAGACTAATATATACAGGTAATTGGCCGAGAATGGATGTGGCTATTAGGTCTGAAAGCACGTGTTGCACTCTTTTTCCCTTGAATCGATTTTGTCCCGAAGTGAGTTTTTCGACAAAGTTTTTAACGAGGCAATAATAAAACGTGATACCTTAGATTTGAAGACCGATCTTAAACCATAATCGATGATCATTTGCATCATATCCACGGTATCCGAGCCCTTACGAGTTCGGCCTCGAATACTGGAGGCCATTACCCCCGGATTAAGATATTTAGAGAGGGAAAAGAAAATTTTATGTGCTAAAAAGCTAAGGCTTAGGATTCATTGTAAGGGTCAAACGGTCATATGAACCATGCCCACATAGTCCACTCTAGCACTGTTCTTCATTCATGACTGGGCTCGAACCAAGAGTCTGATCGAGTACGAGGTCACTGCTCAATCTAAGTTTAGGCCTGGCCATAACATTACAATTGGTTTGATCACTTATTTCGTCTCTAATTTATTTATCTAATATTCTTAATTATTTGTGTTGAATCAAACCGCGTATCCTTAAAACCGCGTATAAACTTAATTGTTATCCAATTTTGGGGTATGTGTATATATATATACCCACCGATTATGTTTGATTTAAGCCGCCATATGGGCAGTTATTTAAGTTAATTCTTTATTTCTTTTTTACAAAAAAATTATATATATACCCCCACCGATTATGTTTAATTTAAACGGTCAGGTGGGCGGTTATTTGAGTTAATTTATTTCAATTTTATAAAAAATCATATTCTTAAATAAGTTAGATCCATCTTCAGATGGAGCTAAAATGTTTATTAATTGGGGAAAAGAATCTATCCAAAAATAACAATTAGGTCAGGCACTTTATCCCTACACATGACTCACCGTTCATTTTAAAAGTGAGAAAGGTCCAAAATTTGGATGCCTCCTATAGTGCTAATATTCTTGGGTCGACAAGAAGTTGTAAAGTGCCAGCTCCAGCAATACACTAAAAATACTGTATATTTAGTAGAACCTACAAAGTGCAAGCTAGCTAGGATTGGCCAGGTTCAATGAACCTGTAAAAAGAATATGTCTTGAAATAATAGCCCTCCAATATTCCATTTAATTTGCACGTTGAGAATTTTATAAAAAGACGCTCTGATTGATGAGATGAACAAATTCAAACACAAAGGTCTTACCTTGTCTTTGTTTATATATATAATTACTCCAATGGATGAAACGATTTAATTGTTTATTTTTGAGTCATGTAGGTTTATTTAGTGATTAGTAATTTGCGGATATGAATGGTTTGGATTTCGAAGGATTCGCGAGCATTGTTTGTGCCATCCTTTATCATCAAACTCTCACCTTTGCCAATAACAACTATGATCTAGCTCAGGTATTTTCTCCCATCATTTTAATTTGCTTGATTTTGTTTTTTCTTCTCTAGACCTAGCTTTTCCTGATCTCTAATTTTCAATTCTGCATAAATTGGAAATTTAAAGCAACAATCTGCAAAATAATATTTTACTCCCTCCTTCTCAATTTATGTGCCTTATGTTTCAAAAAAAATGTCATAGTGCATTTTCATTTTACTCGTACACTCTACTATAAGAAGATTAATATGACATGTTTAAAGCTATAAGATTTAAAGAATATTCTTGATATGTTATACATAAATTTCGTTTAAGCCCACAGTACGATTCAAAAATATTGTTTATATTCTAAACTTCATGCCTAATTTAATTGAGACACATAAATGAATTTGAGGGAATACTTGAAAATAATGGTATTTACTTTGTCCGATTGAGCTTCATAAACATATTGTTTCACTGGAATCCTATGAAATTGTATTCACCCCTTAACAACCCCCCCACCNNNNCACCCCACCCCACCCGCGATATTCTCCCAATAAAAATAAAAGGAATCAATTAAAAAGATTAACTTCTGCCAAATCCTTACCTGAACAATTTGATTAGTCATGTACTTGCATATTAATTCAACTTTATGACTATTATATAATTCAACTTTGAATTTTCTAGCAGTAAAGAGTTTAACTTAATATATTGATAATGTAAACTTTTAACTTGTTATTTATCATGTTTAATAAGTCACAAATTCGTGTTTGTTACGGAAAGTTATTTATGTATTTACAAGTCATCTGTAAAATTTCTGTAGATAATCATGTATATTAATTAGTTAAAATCAATAAGGATCTATTGTATTATCGGCTTGCGGTTTGCTTTAGTTTTGATTCAACTTTTTCCTTTGTTTAATATTAACTCATACTCACATATTATTGTTTTTATTTAATAGTACAATATTTATATCAATTACACTAAATTGAAAATTATTGGTTTGAGTCAATCGTACAGTTCGCTGAGAATTTTAATGAGTGCCCTTATCGCAATTTCATGAGTGGAAAGAATAATATCAATATTTATCAAGAGAAATAGTACCAAATTAAATCTAGTATAAACATGAAATATTGTTTTCCTTACGCAGGAAACTGAGCATCTTTACTCTGTGGCTATAGACTATGAAGACTTCAAGCTATGAAGAGTATTACGTACAATACATTTTCAACATTGAGTTTATGCAACAAACTCATCTGAATACCAGAAAACTTTTAAAAACAAAAGAAACCTCAAGTTTATGCTAGCTAGCAGTTTCCTTTGACTTTGAATAACCAAACACTGGATTGGCTAAAATAACTTGAAAGAGTTATTAGGTATCGGTCACGTATCTGATGAAATAATTGAGGTACGCAAAAGTTAGGTAGATCGTTAATAAAAGAAAAGAAAAGAAAATAAAAATTGAAAGAGTGACAGCGCGTAAAGCGTCGACTTCATGAGTTCCCCTGTAAACTTCACTGTTAATTGTTTTGTCTCTGATATTTATCTCTTCTTTCCTCATCGAATAAAAGGATATTCTTGTTCTTTATAAGTTGATGAAAGTCACAGCACCTTGTTACTCCTCGATTTGCTTTAATTTTCCCCTTTACTCGTTTAAGCTAGTTTTCGTTTTTCCTTTTATTTAGTTACTTTCACTTCCATTAAGTGAGTCTATGGGCTTATGACGTAATTTTCACCTTCTTCAAACGATGTCAGCATTATGGGGGAAATATATAGCATGTTTGGCGAGCTTCTTCTAACCAAAAGTACTTTTGAGAAAAAATACTTCTCAAAATAAGCTGATTTTTGCAGCTTGGCGCTAATATTTTCCTTATATAAAACCGTTATCTCGTTTAAAGAACATGTTATAGAAAGAGCATCTAATATATATACTCCCTATGTCCCAACTTATATGATGCAGTTTGAATTTTTGAGAAATGTGTTTTTCTTTCACTGTAATTTTTTCATATGCCTTTTAAGTACTTTAGATTGTTAATTATTGTGAGTTATATTATTATGATGTAATTTTTAAACTACATATATATTATTTCAAAAAACATATAGATTTTATATCTGAGTTTACGATCAAAATTAAAAAAATTGACACCTCAAAATCCGAATTGCATTAATAAATCGGGATGGAGGGAGTATATCTTAGCGATGCAATGTTCTGATTTGTTTTGTATTGTAATTTAGCTACTCTGGGTTTTTCTTGAACCCAGAACGAATCCAAACACAATGCAGTAACAGTATCATTGTTGTAGGGGCATCAAATCCAAACTGAAAAAGGCTTTTGATCGTGACCCAAGCCCAAGCTATGTGGGCCTAGAATATAGTTTCTTTTCTTTTCTTTTCCTTTTTGGAAAAATGACATTGTATAGTCACTGTAAAAATAATGGCCGAAAAATAGATAAAATTTATATAATTTTTGTATATAACATACATTTTGTATGTTATATATAAAAATTATACAAATTTTATACATTTTTTCTGTTACCAGATGTAAATAGTTTCTGACGGTGGCTAAAAGTAATAATACCTCTTTCTTTTTCTTAAAATTAAATGTACTCCCATTTACCTCTGTCTTTTCTGTATGTTCCTTTTCTAATCAATTAAGAAGATGTTTGTCCCACTTGAAGTCTGATTCGTAATATTTATTTCTGGTCTGGAAATACTGGTGGTACCGAAATATTTTACTTGTCCGACAAAGAAATAAATGTCTGTATAAATGAATATTGACCAGATGTCCAGATCCAAAAAAAGAGTCTTTTAGCATCATAAGTTTATACACACTCCCACTTGTATCATCGCATTACTGACTTTTTTTTCTTTATCTATTTTTGTTTTTTTAAGTGAACAAGGATAGGTAAAAAAAAAAATTACTGCATCCTAACAACTTTAAACGACCTATATACTTGACTTTAATAGTCAACTTGAAAATTATTTGACCACAATAATAAATTTTCCACGGCAGTTATTGACACTTATTAAATTAGGACACACTATGAATATGGAGTGAGAGTTGAAACATTTACTATCATTGGGTAATCATTAAAGGAAAATAACTTTTACCGATAACTGAATAATTATTTCTCCCATTCTGTGGAAAAATTAATGTTATCCTAGTTTAATTGAGTATTTTTTTAAAAATATTTTACTCTATCATTGGGAAATCAGAAAGGGAAAATCGAAGAGAAATAGTGAGAATCAAATCGGCACTAGTAGATTGTAAGTCCTGGTAGTATATGTTTTTCAAAACAGGTCAATAAAAATAATCTTGATAAAGTGGGTTGTTACAGATTTTAATACTGCCACCGACTAAACGTAAACAGCACTATGTTCCTTTTAAGTGAGTAATCAAATTAGAGATATACCTAATCCTCATAATGGGCCTACAGCTTCCCGGGAACTATGACTGGTGTCACGTTGAATGTTGTTGATCCATGCAGAGGGAACATAACCATACTAAAATTGCACGTGTTGTGCCAAATCTTCCCATAAAACAAACCATCTCTCGTTTTTTTTGTGTTCGGTATCCGTATTGAGGCACGATTAATTTAAATCAGTACGAGGTAAGTCTTATGTAACAGCTCATCCCACTAGTGATATTGTCCGTTTTGGACTTAGACTCGAACGATTTTAAAACGCGTCACTAGGGTTCAATGTTTGTTTACTTATATACCCAACATCTCTCACCGTATTTTGTCAATATGGGATTCGCCTAGGGTATCACGTCCTCCCCCTCCCCCTTAGGGACTCAACGTTCTCGTTGGGTATATAAGTAGGCAGAACTTAGACTCTAGTGACGCGTTTTAAAGCCGTGTAGGCCTAGATCCAAAGCGGATAATATCACATGTGGGTTGAGCTGTTACGTACATATGGTATCAGAGCTACTCCGCGTGCAACCTTGAACAGTGGTGGGGCAGACCTCAGCGAGGACGCTGAGTCCCTGGAGGGGGGTGTATGTGACACCCTAGACGAATCCTACATCGATAAAACACGGAAGAAATGCTGGTTATATAAGTAGACATGCCTTAGACTCTAATGACGCGTTTTAAAGTTGTTCGGGTCTACGTCACAATATCACTAGTGGGGTTGGCTGTTAAGACTTATTAAAGGGAGAAATATTCTTTATCAATATTTTTTTCATTTTCCTTATAGAACTTGTGATCTATGATTAAGAGTGAAAGGATAATATATCTATTCTAATGGGTACTCATCTCTCTTTGTTTTTTTTTTCCCTTGACGCACCATTAATCGATCTTGATATATGCAAATTAATTAAATTTAAGTCCTGATTTTCACTGAATGCAACCGAAAAATGTGACTTTATATCTTGTTTAATAAAGAAAAGAAAAGGATGAATTTCCTTTTGAATAGATGGATTGTTTAGAGGCCGAGTTAATTTGCCAAAATGTGGGGTAAATAGGTAGATTCAGAATTTATTGTTATTTATTATCCCACTGACATTTTGCATTTTCAATGAAGAAAATCTTTTAGTATTATAGGATAACCCATGCCTAGCTAATTTCTGATACGATGGCAGCGGACTAGAGCAAAATTTAAAAGATCTCTATGACAAATCCAAGCTGTAATTATTAGAAATTCGCAGTTCCTCTCCAAGAAAAAAAGAAACAAATTACTAATAGTTTAATCTTGATAGCGAATTAAAACAATTTGCAAAACTGGCCTGAAGGCAATAGGTAATTTTGTCTTGTGAAGAAAGCTCTATCAAAATATTCTCAAACTCCATAGAGCATGATTTACAAAAAATAGTAACATATTTATGACAACACTTATAAATATTTTTCAACAAGACATACTTTTTAATTTATCTGAGATATATTACATTCAAATATAAACCACTAAATGGTTTAGATTTGAAAGAATAAACTAAAAATAGATATATTTTATATATGTCTTATCATTAGGCAATAATGTTGAATTACCAATTTTAATAGTATTGCGTAAATTTCAATTTTTATTTTATTAAAATTTTAGATTTGTGACTACGAAGAGATCGATAATTTTGTCTTTACATCAAACGACGCCAAGAAACAAACAACTTGTTTGGATGGTTGTTGTTGGCCCAAGTGAAGTTTGTTTTGATAATTGACAAAGGAACTCTAGCATGAAACAAGTCTATACACAATGTACACAGATACGGGCAGATTCGAGCATAAGGGATGCACGTGAAGAAGATAAGCTTAAGTTGTTATATCTGATATCTCCTGATCGAAAAGGTTGCATAAATGATAAGGAGAAAGACTCCTTATTCGAAGAGAACTTTATCCAAGATAAGGGAGGAGTTAGAAGTTGAAGATAACTAGAACTCTTCCACCAAGGAAAAATAGCATTAGAATTCTAGTTATTTCTTATTCTACTAACTCTATAAATTGCAGAAAGTTGCCATTCTACAAGCACGCACAAACGCTGAAGTTAAACGTGAGTTGAGAGCAAAATAGCAAGGCATTTTGCAAATAATTCTTGTGTGATTCAAATGTGCGAACCCGAAGCTACATGAACCAGATAGAAGAACCAGTTCCAAGCGTCTGTCTTTTATTCTAGTTCAATTGTAATAGTAGGTGTTTTCAATTTGTATCTTTCAGCTTTATCTAGAAGCAATTGTATTAGGTACTCTGAGTATTCAAGTTAGAGTTAACTTGAAGTTGTCGCAACAGTTAGAGGTTGGTTGCTACAACGGGGTTAGAGTTAATCATTAGGTTTACAAAGAGTTTTGTAAATGCTGTTTTGAGCCGAGTATTTTCCACGTAAAAATACTTGTGTTCTTTACTTTTCGCATTTACTATTTCTGCAACAGTAGTACAAGGAACACTTAGAAGAACCAGGTCTTCTATAATCAGTGCACGCGGAAATTGGACACCACACAAATCACCCCCCTCCCCTTTTGCGTGGCATTGACGTATAAAATATCAGTTGTTACCAGTTTTATCATATCGTATTGTTACTTTAAATACAATATTTGTGATTATTCCTTAAATTTTATTATATCGTATCGTTTAAACCCGTTGTTATGTAACGACGAAAAATGTCATTTTATGAAACGACCGATTTGGTGTGGTCACGTTGTTTTGTTATTTTTTTCTCTCATCTTGTCCCTTTTTATTATTAAATAATCCTATTTTATCCTTTACCCCACCTTTTTATATAAAAATATTATCTGATCCCTTCATATTGTTAGTGCATGACATCATGAAACGACGAAAACCAATTAGTGGTGAAACCACATGGTCACACGGATGGTCAGTTGACCACCCTTCGCCAAAAAATTACATTGTGTATATAAGTAAAATATTACGTTTTAGAGGTATATAACACATATTGAATACCATTTGTCGAGATTTATTTTCATTTCTTTCAAATTTAAATATTCTTGGGGAAATTCCTAGCTTCACCACTGCAACCAATATAATCTAACCAAATATTGTATACATCAAAACGATACGATACAATACAATACAATACAATACAATACAATACGATACAAAACATCCATCCAAACAAGCTGTAACATAGAAGTCAAACGTTCATACGTCGTGTAATAAATACTCACATAGTCCATTT